TATGTATTCAGTCATTATTCAATGGTATACTAAAATCCATGTGAAAAAAATTGCTTCTCACTGTTCTCAGGTCAAATATTTATGTGATTAAAAATGCGATTAATTTCGATTAATTAATTACAAAGCCTCTAATTAATTAGATTAATTTTTTTAATCGAGTCCCGGCCCTAGTTTTATTGTTTTGTTTTTTTAGGCTACCAAAGATGCGGGTCAGATCGCTGGTCTGAACGTCCTGCGTGTGATCAACGAGCCCACAGCCGCTGCTCTGGCCTACGGTCTGGAGAAAACTGAGGATAAAGTGTAAGTGGAGAATTCATTCACGGGCCAGATTCTGTTAAAGAGAAAACCAAAGAACTGTTCAAAAAGCAATCAAAGGGTAAAAGTAGAAATTAATGTATTTAAAAAATCTGTAATAACTTATTTTTCTTGAATGTAATTAGAAAAATAAAGGTAGATAAATTACAATTTAGGGTCCTCTCAGTTGAACGTTTACTTATGTTTAATATGAATGACTATTTATTGTATTTTTAGTAGAAGTTTGTATGTCTGTTTTTGTGTATGTGGCTTTAGTGTGTAAATGGGTATTAAGATTATATGCGTGTGTGGACCCCAGAAAGAATGTCCATTAGTCATGCTAATGCTAACAGGGATCATAATAAAGACGCAAGAGGGGCCTGGTACTGAAGGACAAGTGATGGTGGAAGGAAACACTGTCCGGTCATTTCTTCAGCTTTTGATGTGCCAGTGTTATTGAAATGACCTTTCCGTTTCCAGTATTGCCGTCTATGACCTGGGTGGAGGTACGTTTGATATCTCTGTCCTGGAGATCCAGAAGGGGGTTTTTGAGGTGAAGTCTACCAACGGAGACACCTTCCTTGGAGGAGAGGACTTCGACCAGCACCTCCTCAGACACATTGTCAAGGAGTTCAAGAGAGAGTCTGGTGTGGATCTGACAAAAGACAACATGGCTCTGCAGAGAGTCCGGGAGGCTGCTGAGAAGGCCAAGTGTGAGCTGTCCTCTTCTCTGCAGGTAACATAACCCTCAGTCCCTCATGCAACAGGCCTCAAGTCAAAATACACTCCATGAGCAATTCATATTTATACCTAAAAACATTTTGGCATGCTCTTTATTCTTCACTGATTTTAATATGTTATTAAATATCAAGAAGACTCCTTTTAGTGAGTCTTTTTTTTATTAAAATGTTTTCCTGTTTATTTAAAACGCTGGATATTCTCTCTTCCAGACGGACATCAACCTGCCCTACCTGACCATGGACGCCTCCGGCCCCAAACATCTGAATATAAAGCTGACCCGCTCTCAGTTTGAAGGCATCGTGGGTGACCTGATCCGACGCACAGTGGCTCCCTGTCAGAAGGCCATGCAGGACGCTGAGGTGTCCAAGGGAGACATCGGGGAGGTGCTCCTGGTGGGAGGCATGAGCCGCATGCCAAAGGTAAACACACCGTGTACAACGCGGTTACATCCACAACACTACTGTTTCTAATTAGTCCAGAAGCTTTCCATTATTATATTGAGTATTTTAACGTTGAAATACTTTTGATTTATTAAAGAGCAAAGTTAAGTGAGACCAAAATCAGTCATCTGTTTCCTCTCAAAAAATATAATACAAATAAAAGGCTCCCTACTTGCTTGCAAATAACCCATTTTAGGAGATTTTCCCCATAGAGAAATGGCGTTCTGTAAGGAACAAAGACGAACGTACTCGCCAGAAGTAACCTGAATGCATCATTGTTTCTCCTGCAGGTTCAGCAGACGGTGCAGGATCTGTTCGGCCGTGCGCCCAGCAAATCAGTCAACCCCGACGAGGCCGTTGCCATCGGAGCAGCCATCCAGGGTGGTGTTTTGGCCGGTGATGTCACTGATGTGCTGCTGCTGGATGTGACACCACTGTCTCTGGGTATCGAGACCCTGGGCGGTGTCTTCACCAAACTCATCAACAGGAACACCACTATCCCCACCAAGAAGAGCCAGGTACTGACAGATGCTTCAGCTTTATAGTGAGCTGTTAGCCTCTTTGCCATTTAAAAAAAGCTGTTGGCAGGTGTAAAAAAAATAAAAAAAAATATATATACATATTTAAAAAAAAAAGTTTATACATCAGAGTTCCCGTTAGAATATTTTTTCGCCGGTCAACATGTCCGTTAAAGTTTAAATCTTCCGGACTAAATGAGAAAAGTGCCGGTCAAAGGTCTTCTTTGTTATTTATTGTGCTTTAAAACAAATTGATATGATTTGATATTAAACAAATTAATTATAGTAGATTAACAACATTATTCAAAAGTGAACAGTAACTTACAATAACACGGGAATAATAAACGGAGCGCTCTCTCCCTCTCCTAACAGCCCGTCAGTATCATGCAGCTCGCGGATCAGTAATGAGTGACTCGACAGTAAAACTAAACATATCTATGAGTAGTTTAGGTAGTTTGAGACGTAATTAAAATAGCTACGTGTGATAATCCAGGGTGTCCGCGGGGTCTTAAAAAGTATTAAAAGTTGATAAATCAATTTAGTGAAAATTAAGGCTATTAAAAAGTATTAAACGCCATTTTCCAAGGTATTAATAAGGTTCACAGCAACGACAACATGAAACACCCTTTAATTTACTGAAACGACATGTCGGGAAACCCCCCAAGGCGGCCCCATGCATAGCGCGCCGTAAAATGCTGCTTATTATTTTAAGTTTCGTTGCCTTGCTCCGCTCTGTGTAGGGGGGGGAACTAAACAACTACGGTAACGGGCCCCAAGGTGGGTAGACCGGCATACGCAACGCTCTGGGGGTCCAACGGCTCCGTGTGTAAGCCCGGGCCTATATGATCATTTTCTGATAACGATGAAATAGCCCGCCTCCCTCTCCCCACGTCTCCTGCTGCTGCTGGGCTGTCAGAAGAGGGGGAGGAAAAGAGAGGCAGGCACCGTTTATTAAATATTATTATATTATTATACAGAGAACAGAGTCGTTATCAATTTGTTTTAAAGCTCAATAAATAACAAAGAAGACCTCTGACCGGCACTTTTCTAATTTTGTACGGAAGATTTCAACTTTAACGGACATGTTGACCGGCGGAAAACATTTTTTAACGGAAAATGCCGCACGGTTCCCTCGTCCCTTGGAAGAGGCGGAGAGGTGGGTGTTTTTCATCTGCTGGTGGACTACCTGAGAGATATACA